CCTCCCTCCCCCCCCCCCCCCCCCCCATGAAAAATCAAATGGTCCGTCCCTAATGATAGTATTCTTTATATAAAGAATACTAATAGGGCATAATTATATCTACTGAATTTGTAGTCGTGTTTGAAGTACTATTTAAAAAACGAGCAGGAGTGTTTTATTAGGTTTAAAGTCACGAGCGCGCAGCGCGAGTGGCTTTAGACCTAATAAAACACGACCCGCGAGTTTTTTAAATGACTTCAAAAACGTATGCATAATAAGTCAAATCTTTATATAAAAATCTTTATATAAAAATCTTTATATAAAAACCTTTATATAAAAACCTTTATATAGTTTGCATAACAATGGTCTTTTGTTAAAGTGTTCTTTAGCTGGTATAAAGACGTATGCACGTGACTAATTTCTTACTCATGATTGGATAATTGCTTCATGAATTATTATATAATGAGTTTTTGAAGCCGTTTAATAAACTCGCAGGTCGTGTTTTATTACGTCTAAAGCCATTCGCGCTGCGCGCTCGTGGCTTTAAACCTAATAAAACACTCCTGCTCGTTTCTTAAACAGTACATAACATATTCATATATAGATGTTTACCAATGTAACACTAGCCAGATTAATAAGCCAGTATATGCGGCTCTTCTAAAATAACATTCAAATAAAAACGTTAGCGTTAGTACATTTTCATAGTAATCCCAGCCTTGATGCGATACACTGAATTTCAAACAAACTGAGCATTTCTCCTATTTAAATGGAAACTGATAAGGCAATTTTTATTTATAGATACTGTCTTTTAATATACCTACTCCTTCATCTATACGCGTAATTAAAAACAATTCATGTAAACGAACTCGACTAATAAGACACGTACATGCAGTCACATGCAGTATATAAAGACAGATGTTTCTGCTAACAAAAACGAAATACCATTTCTTCCCATCTTCTTCATACAATGCTGGAAGCTAGGATTGGACGCTGAAGTGGTATATACATTCGTTTATGGTATCATAAAAACATCTCGACGTTGAATTCAAAAATAAATATTGCAGTTTTATAATTTATCATCCTAACAAGTTAAGTTAATGTACCGTTGTTTGCTAACAAATTAAACGGGCTTCGTGACGCATGCAGTCGTCATTTCGATTCTTGTTCTGGACTAAACGTGTTAGAACTACGTTAAATGAAACGACATGCATAGGTATAACTATCAACAATAGTCTCCCAGAATGCAGGCTTTTGCCATTCCATTCCTGGGACCTCTAATGATTTCAAAATGTTCTTGTTTGAAAGCCATGCATTTTTTACTGATTTAAAGGTAGATTCTTTGTTTATCAGGATTTGCCACTGACTGAATCAGTCTGTAAAAACTAAGCATGCTCTTAAAAATTCCTATTCTTTATTATTTAATATTGTCAAAACATGGCAGCTTTCTTTCACATGCTTTTCAGTTAGAGGGCTGTGTGATTAAAAAAATATAACGGAATAAAATGTTCACGGTGTCCACTGTATCGTGTACAATTGCGACAAAACTGAGACAATGAAACTTCCCTTCACGCGCATATTAACGCAGACCTTCCAACTCTCGTCCGATTCATTCAAACAGAATTGTAAATTCTATTTCGATCTGTGGCTTATGTGGCTTCAGCTAGTGATACCTGAACATATTAGATGTGGGGGGGGGGGTGGGGGTGTGCTATATGGGTGTGCCCATAGACATGGGCATCGATAATTCGCAAAGTTGGAAGGTTTGTTAACGGATTATTAATTCATCTAGTTATATGTCTCGCGTTTGGGGTTTGGTGATTTTTCTTGCTGCTTTCAAAATAACTTTGTCTTTGACTAAAAAGAAGATCTTCATGGGAGCTTTAGTCCTGCCATACAATAATGACGAGCAAGGATTTCAGGCAGCAATGGAGTATGCTACTGAGCTTATCAACAACCGCAGTGATATATTGAAAGATTATGAACTCGTGGTCAGATATGCGGAAACGCTTGTAAGTATTACCCAGTGAAATTAATATAACTGAAACGGTATATATCTTCAGATAAACTGTCTATCTAAAAGTAAAGTCTACTACTGTACCAGGAAATTTTACTAAATAAATGAACTAATAAAAAGCTTTGAGCGCTGTTAAAAAGGAATGATATCACCGAAATATTTGTATATCTATAATTAATCTTATCCGAAGCTAAAGACGTATTTTTCAAGAGTAGGAGTTTAAGTCCAAAACTATAGTTCTTATATTCTATTGCTATACACCAAATATATGAGCCATTCACCCGGCTCTGATCAGACTATAATAGGCTGAATGCTCTTTTCCTCGCTGGGAGTGTTTGCATCTAATTAAAATAAACTGTCGAGCATTGTGATTGGTTGAAAGCACTCGCAGCGAGTTGACTGTTGCGATGAATGGCAAAGAGGCTTAATCAGTGGCGTAGGAAGGGGGGAGGGGGGGGACTGGGGGCACGTGGCCCCCAACTTTCAAAGTGATAAGAAAAAGTGCCCTTTTTAAAAGGAAAGTGCCCTTTTTTAATGCCTAACATTGGTATGCCCTATTGCCCAGGGGCGTATAGGAACGGGGGGCAGCCCCCCAAGTTTTCAAAAGTGCCCTTTTTCTGGGAGCAAAGTGCCCTTTACCTCCGTGAAAAATGTCGTTTAGATTGCATTTTTTGCCCAATGGCCTTTGATTTATGGTTGTACTTTGTTTTTGTATTTTGGTATTTCCTGAAAAATTCTGTTATATTCGGGTAAAATTATGATATGTCCGAAAAAATTTTGTAATTTTCGGGAAAAAATATGATATCTTCGGAAAAATTGTTGGCACGTCGGGAAAATTTTTTTCATTTTCTGAAAAAATGTGATATGTAGGGAAAATTTTTGGTAGGTGAGGAAAATTTTTTGAGACGACTTCTTGCCCCCCCCCCGGTCGCCAATATTTCCGGGAAAAAAATTTTAGGTGCCCTTTTCATTCGAAAAGTGCCACTCGAAGCCTGGGCCCCCCAACTTACTGGGCTTAATACGGCTTTTTTAATAACACAGGGGATGATCGCGGGACGTGTAAAGAGTGTGGTATCGATTTTATTGTGCTTGTTTGTTTTTTAGGGATCACCAATATACTCAATTTTAGGCGTGTTCAACTTTTTACAATGGCCTAAGAATGAGTCGATACAAGTTTTGATTGGGCCAGCCTGGTCAAGAAATGCCGGGCCTGCTGCTTTGGCATGTGGAACGTGGCGAGTTTTACAGGTAATTGTGATGAATGTAGGTTCAAGGTTGATGTTATGACAACTCTCCCAACAAACAAGCGTTTCATAATGCGGAAATGTTATTGATTATTGTTATTGTTGCAGATATCCTATGGTGCTACCAGTGTTGAGCTGCAGAATGATCAGTATTATGGCATGTTATTCAGTAACGTCCCATCAACTGCTTCATTCAACTATGCCCGTCTGGCAGTCATCGATTATTTTGGATGGAAGAGAGTGGCTATGCTGCAGGAATATGATGATAAGTTGTATTCTTCGGTAGGCAACGTAGAAATTAAAGTGTTTTGAATGAGTGAGATCACAGAGTTTAAATATGATAAAACACTCCTACGCGAGTTTTAAATAGTATACTTTGACACTTATATACTATATAACAAAACATTTACTGAGACCTCTGGAAAGCAGTGTGTTTTGTGGCCCAGCTCAATCCTCGACCGTCGTTGTTGCCCTCTGTCTCAAACACATTTTCCTTGGTCTCAGTACGTCAATAAGTGATAAGGGACCGGTCAATATTTATGGCGGGGCGTGGCACCGAAGAGAAAAGGGTTGGGTAAACAAAATTTTGAGTGAGTAAAAGGTTGGGTAAATGAAAAGCAAAACAACTCAGGGGTTGGGTAATAAAAAATTATTGTCATTTCCAAAGCATGATTCACTGAAATATTGGAGACTAAAAAGCAATGTCAACAGTAGTCAGTCATATGTCAACACAATACCGTATGTAAATCAATCAGAGTGACTATCTCTTGATGGGGGGGGGGGGGGGGAGACAAAATACCTGGAGCCCGGAGTGCCCAGAGGGGCCCGGAAATCTCGGTAAAAGTGTTTATCGTCGCTTTATGTTTGTTCTAAATGAAATACGCCTACAGTGAGTTGCACACTATCCGCTGATCGTCGTCATTGATCGTAAAACGTACCAAATGTGAAATAAAGATTTTTCGATCGTTTTTTCAGCAAAAACAGTTAGCTGAACATCGTTCACATTGCGTTTTTATCAGTTATGCGGCGATTTCTTGCAAGTATAATTCGCTGGCAATTCTCCGTTGATTGCGATTAAAAATAGCCAGCGGGACAGCCGAGAGGGACAGGGCGCCCGTGTTTACCAATCGTCATTTTGTCCCGGGGCCCGTGGTTGGCTCTCACCGGCCTTGCCTCTAACTGACCCTTCCAGCGTAGCTGTGCTTCGTGATCAAGTGATCAGACATAAGTGATAAGGTGGCTGCCATAGGCGCCCTTTGAAAGCCTTCGACTCGATGACGTTGTTTTACAAACATTGGTTCAACAGCAATCGACAGACGTTGAATCAACGTTCATTCATGGTTAAATGTACGACGTCGATTTGTGAACCAATCTCAACGTTGTTTTAAGGTGGATTCAACGTTGAATTATGGTTGACGAGATTGGCAACCTAATTTCAACGTTGTTTCAACGTCGAAACAGTCAGTAACGTCGATCCAATTTGCATAGTCAACCCTTTTTCAACGTCTATCCAACGTCTGGAAGGTCATTTCCAACGTTGATTTAACGTTGAATAAACGTCATTTTGCCCGCTGGGTTGCTTATACTTACTTACGTATTCTTTTTTCTACAGGCAGTGCAAAACTTTCAAGATCAAGTAAACAGGTTTGCACCGCACGTCTCAATCATCACTTTGGAAGGATATCAGAAAGGTTTACGTGGTGAAAGTGGTCACCCAAAAGCAGAACTTGAGAGATTGCAGGTGAAAAAATATTACAGGCAACGTCACCTTAGAACTACAGAAATATTAGTAACTTTATATTTAAAATAACTGCGTTAAGAGTCGTTGTTCAAAATTGTTCGCGTATAATGGAATACAGACAAAGTATAAATACTACTTCAAGCATTCCATGAGACTTTAACACAACAGTGCCTTTTTTAAGGAATTTTCACTAGGGGGGCAAAACAGGAAAAAAAGGCAAAACGAAAAATATGAGCCGTCGAGGTTTGGCGAACGCGCAAGTCTGAAGAGAGATTTTGTAAAACTTTAATTTATTAACTTCACCTATATTCTCCTTTAAACAATAACTTCAACTCTTTGAAGCTATAATCGTATTATCGTACAGCTATAACCCGATGGCGTAGCCAGACCTTAATTTTTTGCCGGGGCGAACCTCACGCCCAAGGCGTGAGACCGTCTAGGAGGGTCCAGGGCATGCACCCCCGGGAAAATGTTGAAATCTAGGGTCCCTGAATTGCGATTTCAAGCATTTTGGGGGTGAAATCTAGCAGAATTCCGAAGATTGTAAAGTACATCGAAGACATCAATTTTTCCAGACATTTCTACTCGGAATTAACTAAATTGGAAAAGTCACCTTGAAAATAGGAGGAGGGGTCAGTGTCACCTTATTTCCTCTCTGTGATGCTGGGGGGGGGGGAGAAAATCCCAATGTGATTTTGTTCAGAAATGTTGCATTTAAATCGATGTAGGTTCTATATGAGACACTATTTCCGCATTCACAAAATTGCGTTGCTTTTTCATACGATACAGAATAAATCTGAGAAGAAGTATTCATGCTATGATAATGCATACATGTATTTAACAGTTAAAAATCTAAACTAAATCTATTCTTCTTGGAACCAGCATTTTATCGGATTGTTAATTTGCATGAAATCTATCGCTATTATGAAATACGCGGTGAAGAACAATATGAATCACACACAAGATGGCTGTGGAGGAGGCTATGGAAGGGCATAATCTCATTACCAAGTAAATCAACTGCAATTCTGACAGCAATCATGAGCAATTCTGCTTCGCACTTCGGAGGCAGAAATGGCTTTACTGGGGGGGGAATTCTTTCCCTGGGGGGGGGCAATTGCCCCCCAGATATATAGTTAAAAAAGGCACTGTAACACAACACAATGGCAAATGGAGGTCAAAAAATGATATTCAAGTCAGATTCTTTTGTTTAACCGCTAATTCCATGTGCAACGAAATTGAGCACGGTGAAAGTCACTTACAAGTTTATTAATTTGACTTGTTGTAAGGGCAAAATACAAAATAATAACAGAATAATCATATGTATGTCATATACATGATGTTGCAGATTAAGGCCTGTTTCAAACGTCGCGCTTCTCATGTGCCGAACGCATTAAAAACAATAGAACTGAAATGCCTCATCTATTGTTTCTAATGCGTTCGGCACATGAGAAGCGCGCCGTTTGAAACAGGCCTTAGACAATAACTATGCAATATACTTGGATGTTAAATACGATCTTCAATACTTATTTTCTTATCTTTTATATGTTCTTATAGAAACTTGATGCTCGAATTATAATTGGAGAGTTTTCTATATATAGTGCTGCTGAGGTGTTCTGCGAGGTATATTCCAGGAATTTTGTCCATCTCATTCACGATTTGTGAAATAATAAAAGCACAACTTAGGGGAAACCTAAATTCCTATGTTAAATGCTCAAAAACTTAACAAAATAGGTAAAGCAAGGAGTAGTAATAAGGGTTATAACGACTCTCATGCGGTTACGGTACCTCTCAGATAGAATTGTCACTGCATGCGCGCTGAAGTTGCGTGACTTCTGAATCCTTGATTTTAAAAACATGATTTTAATATCAGAATTTTCGCCCTGAAATCGGCGATAACAGAGGATTTAAATCTATTGCATGCACGTGACCAACTAAACGTTTTTGTTTGGTTATTTGCTCATAAATTATTAATCAGTTTGAGAATCATGAAGACATTTTTTGTCGCCAAGACCTCATTAATTAATTAAACATTCTTGGGGATATTTTCCTCAGGCTTACAAACTTGGAATGTATGGACCAAAATATGTTTGGCTTTTGGCTGCTACTTCATCGGGTGGTTGGATTTTCAGTCCTGAGACATTTTCAAGACAGCATAAGAAACTTGGTTGTGATCACAGTCAAGTAGTCGAGGCTGCTGGAGGCTTCCTGGTCATTGCCAACGTTGAGATTCGGCAAGATAACAAAACAACAGTTTCTGGATTGGTGAGTAGTTAGTAGTTTCTGGATTGGTGATTAGAAAGATGTACTTCTCTGTTTGCAGGATAATAACCTTTTTCAAATAAATTACAAATGTTATAGTTCATCAATTTCAATTTTTATTACAATTATTATGAAATATAAAATTATTAAAAGGGCAGTGTCACGGTTCTACTGCGCATCCGAAATATGCGCGAACTTGAAAAACTGTCTGCCAACAATTAATCATCAAGTTAGGAGTGAAATACGATATACTATTTATAATCCCTTCATTATGCAGGACATCCTTGCTTTTTGTTAAAAAATTGAAAGCTGCTGCAACTTTTCCAATCATTACTTTTAAAGGGTATTGGCAATAAAAATTTTTATTGCTTTATCTGAAAGAGCATAAAAAAGTAAGCCGAGTGGCCGTTTACTGCTCTATTCTATTTCATCTGGTTCCGAAGTTATACGCAAAAATGTGTAAAATATAAATTGCTGATTTAGTGCAACGTGTGACGTCATTAGTTGGGTAGGTATGTTTATTGAATAGTAAACTGAAGCATATCTAAGTTATTATTGGCTCAAATCAAATGAAATTTTGCATACAGATAGTACATGATGAGATGCATGGGAAAATATTTCTAATTTTGTTGTCAAGACAACACAGTCGTTCCCAGGCCCCTTACACTGATTTTGAATAACTAGTTGTATTTATCTGTGTGTATGTCATTTTCAAATTATTATCATGCAAGTAAACTTTTAGCATGCATAGGTATGGTACACATACTTCTGATATTTTATTCTTATAAGTACCATGAATAAAGCTGTTTTATAAAATTGGCGCAAGGGACCTGGGAACGACATTGTTACCTTGGCAACAAAATTAGAAGTGTTTTTCAATGCGTCTCATCATGTACAATCAGTATGCAAAATTTCATTTGATTTGGGCCCATAATAACTGAGCTATGCTTTAGTTTAGTATTCATTAAACATACTTACCCAACCAATGACGCCACACGTTGTGCTGAATCAGCAATTTATATTTTACACTTTTTGCGTATAACTTCGGAACCAGATGAGATAGAATAGAGCAGTAAATGGCCAATCGGCTTATTTTTTCATACTCTTTCAGATAAAGCAATAAAATTTAGCATATAGCATATATCAACAGAGGTCATCCTTACGCCCGTGTTCTAAAGGCTTACTCCGGCACTCAATAAGTGGAAGTTCATCTGAGCTTCTCTCGAGTGTCACAGTTGCTGTTTTTGAATAGCTGGAGGGCCAGTGTCATACCTTACGATGTGACTACTCACCCTCCAGCTATTTAAAAACAGCATTGACACTTAAGAGAAGCTCAGATTGAACTTCCACTCATTGAGTGTGAGTGAGCTTTTAGAATACGGGCGTTAGACTTTAGATACAGGGGTCACCATAGATATCAATGGCATTAATAATTCATGAGTAAATTAGCCATGTACATTACGTTATTTTGCTCAGATGATAATACTGGATACCTGGTGAAGTATATATTGATCCAGTCCTAGGACTGGATCAAAATTAATTCAGTCCTTGGGCTGGATCAAAATTAATTCAGTCCTTGAACCGGATTAAAATTGATTCACCTCATTTTAAGTAGTGATCTGTTCGTATGAGATGTTATTCCAAATCCTCCAATTCGGACTGGACTAGATCTCAAGTCCTC